TTGAAGAATGTAAATGATTTCTTATATAAAATTAAGCTAAATGTTATATATGATGATTAAGTTAATATGGCTAATGAATCTAAATCGATAAATAAGCATGTAAAAGTATTATCATATCCTATGATTATCTGGACATGTTACATGAAAAAGATGATATGGAACAATGAATGTATAACATAACCAACCCTTATAAGCTTAAAAGGAGTTGGGTAGAATAAAAGTGTGGCATGCTTAGTACACTATCTAGTAGTACTCCGATCATTCAGGATTTTGGGGTATATTAAGATATCCTAGTGCTTGACACACTATTCGTATGGCTGTCGAGACCAGTATGACATTTGATGCCCATTATAGCCTTCAGGCTTGATACGGCTTTCAACCCCTGCATTCGGCAGTTGATGCACATTCGACATAGTTCCCTTATATGACCTCTATACCTATAAGTTTTATTTAGGCTAAACATATAATTAAGATAACTAGTATTATATACATTCGACATAGTTTCCCTTATATGACCTTCTATACCTATAAGTTTTATTTAGGCTAAAACATTAATTAAGAAACTAGTATTTATATATATATATATATATATATATACGTATATATATATATAACTATATACTATATATTATATATCTTTATTATTATATATCTTTATTATGCTTCATTATTAAATTATGATACTTAGTATTATGCAAGTATGTATGTATGCATAAATGCCTATGAACTGTTATGAATAAATATGATTGAGGTGCGTACATGTATGTTATGGACATTATGCTTGGAATTGCCATAAATGATCTATTTAATATTAACTGTGAAAATAGTAAACTAAGAAAGTGCTCATTTATGAGATGTGAAATTTTATGATGCTTTGATAATGAATGTTATCCCTGATTTTATGAAACGAATGTTTCTTGAATTATATTGATTGATAAGTTATATGCTTGCTATTGTGTGTCTTGTGTATTTTTTATTAGGAATTGTATGCCCACTAAGCATATAGCTTAGTGCGTTTAGTTTTCTCACTTGCAGGTTTATATAGTAGCAGTCTTAGACGAGGATCTTAATCTGTATCGACTTTTGAGTTACATACTCTTTTGAGTAGCGTAGACGCTTGATTTTTGCCCCTAAAATGGCTCAGTAATAAATAACATTTTTTTAACATAAAATTGAATTGGGACTCCGATCGCTTTTATTCTCAGACTGATCGTTTGTTGCTGAGATAATGCATGTATTTGACCATTTTTACTTTTCAGATTTTCAGCGTTTCGCAGTGAAACCAAGCCTGGGAGGCTTCCGGTCCATCCAGTACGCTTTTCGGTGGACCGTCTTATTTTGCGTGCCACCTGGTTTGATTTGGTAAAAATGGGCCTGCCCGGATTTCGGAGCCCACCAGTGGCATTTGCCACCTAGGCCCTAAAATTAGGGCAACAGCTCCCATTTGCCTATAAATAGGCCTTGAGATTAGTGCCAAGGGGAGGATTTTTTAGAAAGCTAAGGGAAACTCTATCATTTTGAAACTCAACTACTAATCAAAGAGAAAATAGTGTTTCTTCTTGGATTTCTAGTGTTGTTCATTGATGTTTTTTTTTTTTAAAAAAAAAACCCCTTATTGCTAATCTGAGAATCCACAAATACATTCATTTTATCTCAATCTAAAACTTTTGGTTCAAGAATCAAGCTTTTGAGTATTCTTTCATTCAATCCCAAAAAACTTTTGGATTCTTTCAAAGAGGTAACTTCTGAGAGCCCTTAAACTCTCCTTCCATCTTTTTCTCTTTATTTTGGTGTGAAAAACACCTTTTCTTTATTTGATTTGGAGAGAAATCCATGAACAACCAAAGCTTCTAACTATGTTAGAAGTAGCGCACGCTACAGTACAAGGGATGCACACCCCTACATGTGGTGCACTCCATTTTTTTCGCAATTAGAAAGCCCAATTTATGGTTCTGTGACACCTTGATCTGGGTAAGTGTTGAGCGCCACTACGTGTGGCGCATGCCCCACTTATGTGCACACGCCACTTCTGTTATGGTGCACGGGACTTCATTTTAGGGGTTCAGAACACCAAAAATCAATAAAACAGACCCGATTCAGAATTTTAGTTGTTAAGCACTAGACTTTATCATTCTGGATTACGTTTTTGACCAAAAATGGATTGAATAAACACAAACTAACAAGAAATGGGTAGTGATAAGTGTATTTGATGAACATCAAGGCTTTGAACCCAAATTTTGGCTAAAAGTTTAAATTTATTGCATTTAAGTTACTGTCATTTACTTTTATGCACATTTAATATTATGTCTTAAATTCTTGCACTTTTAGTTATCGCTTTATGATTTTATTGTGCTAACCCATTAGTTATTACTTTGTGTAAATAACATGCATCGTGTCCCCATTGATTGAATGAATGTATATTTTGTGATTCTATGAATGTTTATTACTTATGTGTTTATTATGTATGAGTGATTCTTTAATGCTTTTCATTTATTATGAGCTCAATGTAAAGGACCTTAATGGGTCGTATGATTGCTTATTTGTAATAAATTAAGGGGATTTGAAAATTTTGGAGGGTTAGTGGGTAGATTGTATTTTAGGAGATGGGTTGTACTCTTTTCCCCTCTCCCCTTTCTTTAGATGGTTTAATTTATGTTTTATGTATGAGATGATATGCATGATTACCATGATTTCCTAAAATTGCATTAAAACTGATTTTACACCTCAATTTCAGTTAATTCTATTATTAATCACTGTGAATTAATGGACAATAAGAAAGTCGGTTTAACCGGGCGGTTCAGATGTCTAACACCTTCTCGATACCATACCTAACTTCCTTACTCAGTCTCTGGTTTAAAATCGAGTTAGTCGACTCCAAAGAATCAACTAATTCGAGAATTTACCCTAAAGAGGGTGGCGACCCTAAAAATAAACTCTTACCAAAGTAAGAGACCCTTTTCAAGGATCAATGAATAGGTCTAATAACGAAAACTAATTTTATTAAATAAAATCAACCAAGCCCATTTAATTTTCCTTTAGCGAAAAATAAGCATCCTCAAGTAGTTATTTGGATTATTTTACTACCTTAGAACAACTTCTATTATGTGGCATGTCTGCTAGCACTTGTGTATTATGAGAGTTTTATTTGGCATGTAACAAATTATTATGAGCCTGTTATAGAAAACTAATCATGATTATTTGAGTTTAAAATGTTTGAAGGCTATGTATAGCTGGTATTTGGATTGAGAATTCATATTAGGTTTGGATTGATGATGGCTTGTTGAGATATGGTATGAGGAGTAATATGAGTTATATGATCATGAAATATGTGGGGTTTGAGTTTAGAATTATATAGAAGTGTTTTTAGCAAGTTTAATAAATTTGAAAATGTCAATATCATAGGAAAATTCTTGTAGTTTTTCCATAGAAATTTAGGACCTAGAATTTTTCATATTTAGATTTTTCATGTATTAAATGAAGTTTTCATAGATAGAAAGTAGGCGTTATGCTTTTAGCACTATGTAACACCACTTATAAGGACTATCCATGAATCTGATGGTTCATACGTAGTTTAGATACAAGGTAATATTACTATATCTTTATTTAATATGCATCTTCTTTAGTAAATATAATACTCTTTCTGTCCCACTTAAAATGGCAATTTTTAAAATTTTTATTATTCCATTTTAACCGTCATTTTTTAGAATTCAAGAATTTATTCATTTGTATTTTTTACTTTTATTTATCGAGTCCCATTAACACCAATTTCATGCATTTAATGAGATTGATTATTTCCACGATGATAATTATACTACCAAATGCATTTAATTACATTAGATACATATAGGCATTAATTCACATACAAGTATAACCAACATTATCATTTAACAAGGTTATTACCACAATATTAATTATATTACCAAATTTCAAAATTTATTTCACCACCACCATTTATTTACCTTAATTAATTAATTCAGTCATTTTAAATTGACTTACACGATTTCATGGATTTCCAAGATTTTACCCAAGTAATATTCAAATCAAAATTACTTGGTTATTTTCCAACTAAAATCTCTTATACTTTCTTTATAATTTCTTTTTTACATTTAATTCTTTCTATTTATTATAAATAGACAATTTTCAATTCATTTTGATATTTCAAGCAACATAATCAAAATTTGACTTTCTATCATCTATTAATTCGTTTTGAAAGTAAAAGCACTGAAGGAATACATATAATCATATATTCACATCTAACTCAATTTATTTTTATTATATCAAGCCATAAATCTCAATGTTGCCATTAGCATGTGGAATTGCAATAATACCTCTATTTTCAATATTAGAACGATGTTACTAGCATGCTTCTACAATCTTTTTAAATAATACTATCTAAATCAAAGAATAACTAAAATTAACTTGTATCGCAACCAAATTTCACACATACACAAAATGATATACACCATCCATGGGTCAAAGTCACATGTCACTGACTCAGAAGTGATATTAATTAAGACCCGGGATTTTGAGGCATTACAGTAATATTAAATTGTAGCAAAAATTATCCTCTTGAAAATTGACATAGAACAATAATTGAAGACAGATAGACGCATTATTATGAGTTTTTTGGCATCTATTTCAAGACAATTTTCTTTTCACTTTGAATTGGTTTGATATCGAAACCAAACAATTAATTTAAACAAGTTTAAATCCCAATTACGCTTTCCTAAAAAGAAGAACCATGTTGGACTTCCAAGATTTGAAATTTTCTAAGAATCCAACAGAATCAACACTGAGTCCACGTGGCCCTCTTAGCATTATGATTAGGACAGATTCTACCATTTTAGCCATTGGCTTAATGGAAATGGCACTCCCACACTATGACCTTAAAAAAATGTTGGGAGTGACAGATTCTTCCACATTGGAGTGCACTTGCTTTAGAGGGTACCAAAAGCAAATCATACAAAGAATGAGAAAAGAGAAACAAAACAAAAACAACGTAACTTTCAAGGCGCAGCAAAAAGTAGGCTATTCCTTGTTAAAATATGTAAAAACACTTTTTTCATAAGGGCAGTGACATTCTTTCTGGCCTCAAACAGCTTCGTGAAAACCCTAACAATATATATATAAGTCCCATCAAAACAAAAAAAGTGGCCACACAAAAATTCTCGAACAACCCTAGCACTTATTTTATGGGTCAGGCTTCCCACTAGTTAAAACGATAAAGAAATCTCATAAAAGTGTTGCACTAGTCTTCACGCATCAAATTCTTCCTCAAAATGCTAATGCTTTTACGCAACATTACCATTTCCATTACCTAACAGCCTTCCACTCTCTGCTTCTTCTTCTTCTTCTTCTTCTTCTTCTTCTTCTTTATCTCCTTCAACATTATTCATTCCACGCATTTCCATGCTTGTAAGCTTCCTAGACTTCAATGCCTCATGTTCCCAATCCGTACGGATCAAAACATATAGAACAGACACAGCACAAGCAACTTGTGCAGATAGAAGCCCGATCCACAACCCTGTGAACCCGACATTAAGTCCGAATGCCAGGCCCACTGCGACCGGAGTACCCACGAAGTAAAATGACCCCAAATTGATGCGGGCCCCAATAGCGGGCCGAGCTGTGCCCCGTAAAATTCCACAGCCAGTTGTTTGAGGGCAATTACCAAGCTCACAAAGGCCTATTATAGGCAAAACTGATGCTACTAAACCTTTGACAAGTCTATCTTTAGTGAACAAACCAGCCCATCTTTCTCTAAGGAAAACAGTCCATGTGACATTGATGATGCCAATAACAAAGGCACAACCTAATGCAACCATAGCAGCTAGCTTGGCTTTATATGGCTTACCAGCTCCAAGCTCATTCCCTACCTACAATTTGAAGGATAATAGTTAGTTCCTTTCTGTTTCTTAAACAATATCGTCACATGGTAAAGGAATTTGAGCTTTTTTGAGAGGAGGAAGCACAACTACAGGTGCTTAATTGTCATGTACTGTTTTGTCCAATCACATTACATGTGTGATCTACATAGGGTCCCTGAAGTGATGCAATGGCTCAACCGACCAAAAAGCATGACTTTTGAGAATATATACTTTGTTATGAATTTGTATTGATAATCATAATATCATATGATCAAATCAATAATAATTGGGAGAAATGAAAGAAATGAATAGACAGACAGTGTTGATGCATAATGCACTATTTCCTTAAACTACAATAAAGATCATAGGAAAAGACTAATTCTTTTATTTCTAGGAAAAAAATAAGAAAGTTGTATTGGAAATTCAAGTGTATGATAAAAGGGGCATGGACCCAAAACAATGCTGCTTGTTTTTATGTAGTTTCTATGTTATGTTCGGTTTGGGTCAAAACAAATTCTGTTCTGATATGCAGCAATCATTAAATCTTTTGCCCACATTAAAGGTGTGAGAAAAGGAGTGGTGAATTTTCTTTTTTCATGAAAAAATGGGCCATATTTTGACTTGATGAATTGTAACATCAAAAGCATAAGTTTAACGCACGCAAGAAGAAGAAGAAGAATATCAAGATCACAGACTCCAAATATCATGAATCTATGTTATAGCGACATAGCACCAAAACTATGAGAATGCTATAAAGTGGATTAAGAGACTAACACTCAAATCTTATAAATGTCCGAACCAAATAAATGTCCATCTCATATGCAAAAGATCATTAATTTATATGGGTAGATGCTGGATTCTGCACACCGATGATATCTAAATAGCAGAATATATAGAAATGCATCAAAAGAAAAATAAAAGGAAAAAGGACATACCCGAGCAGAGACACAGCCAGCAAGGGCCATAGGCACAGTGTACATCATGCTAGTGGTCTGAATGAGTATCCCAGAGGCGGCCACAGCCAGAGTGGGGTTAGGCAAGTACCCAGCCATCACTATCACTATCTCATACCACCACCATTCCAAGCAAATCCCTAAACAACTAGGTACCGCCAACTTCAACAATTGTCCCACCCCACCACATACTCCTCCAATTCCACCCGTCCATCTCATCTCCCACCGTCCACTCACCCACCACACATACCCTACCATCAACACCACCATGTTCATGTTAGTCACTACTGATGCCATTGCCACCCCAGGCACTCCTAACCCCATCACCACCACAAGCATGTAATTTAATGGCACGTGGAATATAACAGCTAATAGAGAGCAATACATTATAGGTTTTGTTACCTGCTGTGATCTTAAAAAAACCCTTAATGGTTGTAACAAAGTGTTTGTTAAAAGGTCCGGAAGAGAATAGATACAGTAAGTTGCAGCCATTGCTGTTATATTTGGATCTTGGCCCATCAAGTTCATGATTGATTCAAGATTAACCCATAAAAAACTTATGGGTATGATTGCTATGAAGAGTATTAAGATCATACGTTGTAGAGAGAGTGACATGAGGTCCCAGTTCTTACTTCCAAAAGCTTGACTACAAACTGGCTCGAGTCCAGAGGCTAAGCCCACAAGAACAGAGTAACCTGTAATATTGGTAAAACCAATAGACAGTGCACCACCGGCTAGCTCCAGACTGCCTAGTCTGCCTAAAAACATAACTGAGACCACTGATCTGAAAAAAGCCATTAAATGTGCTGCTGTTATTGGTAAAGCCATCCCCCATAGCTCTTTTAGCTCTTCAAGAACCTGTTAAAACAAAAGACAGAACATTTATGTCAATATCAGTATTAAAAATAACACCTTTGAGTTGTTAGTTCAATTGTTGCAAGAGAAAGTGTTTGCTAGATACCTGAGAGGCGGAGGGAAGTTTCTGTGACAGAAAGTCCGGGTCTTTATCCGCCATAGTTGTATTATAAAATGGTACGTAAAAGATTTTTTAAAAAAGAAAAAACAACTAAAGAAATGAACACCCGAGTTGCTACTTTTAATCAACTTCAAGAAAATAAAATCAAACGGCAAAAATAAGCCTCAAGATTCGATTTTTAACGAGTGATTCACTGATTAAAGAAAGAAAGATTAGAAAAACGAAAGATTATCAATAGAAGATAACATAATAAGCAAAAGCGCAGTGTAGTAGTGAAGAAGAGGCATTAAATAGAGTAGTAACAGAAAGATGGTCGAGAGTCGATTAAGAGGTACGCATGTGTAATTTCAAGGATTGTTTTTTTATTTTTGGCAATTATATATTATTTATTACCATATCATATAAACTGAAAGATATTTTCTTGATTTGTTAGCTTCCATATGTATATACATCTGTGGTTATTTATCTCAAAGACGGACAACAAAAAAGAAAAAAGAAAACCAAAAAGAAAAGGTTAGGATTTGCTAATGGCGGCGAGAGTTGGAAGCAGAAAAGGAACGGTCGGACAGAGAGAAGAAGAGGAAGAAGGAGGTGTCTTTAATGTCGCAGAAAAAAGAGCTTTTGGACTAAAAAAACTTAAAAGCGAGAGGAAGAGGCGAGGAGAGGAGACAGACAAGGGGAAAAAGTCGGTTTTGGGCAGTCAAACCTTTCATTATTTTCTCTTTTTAGTATTCTTTATTGCAATGTGGAAGTATTTCTGGAGGTTAAAATTTATTTTTTTATTTTATTTTATTGTTAAAATAATTTGAGCCAAAAACATTGCTGATGTTGATGGGCAAGTCTTGCCATGCTTTGTTACTTTCCCTTTATTTTGAAAACAAAATAAAATGTAGACACTGTTGAAGTAGGGGTGGCCACGGTTCGGAACCGACGGTTCCGATTCCAAAAAAATTAAAATTGAAATCGAACCGAAAATTTTCTGTTCTGATTTCGATTCCAGTTCCGATTTCGTTACGGTGTCAAAACCGACGGTTTCAATCGGTTTTCCGACAAATCGCATAATTTTAAATTTTAAATTTTGAAGATCGATTTTCAAATTTTAATAAATTTGTGAAAGTTATTTGTAAAAAAAATACACCTAAGTTATTTGTAAAAAAAATCACACCGAAAAAAAATTAAAAAATGTTTCCAATTAATTTTATTTTTTTAAAGACTTGAACTTAATTATTTTTTTTTTTAAAAAATTCTTCAACTGAATGTTATTTTTTGTTAAAAGTCTTGAACATAATTAAAAAAAAAAAAGGGCCTTTGAACTTAATTTTTTTTTAAAAAAAAAATTAAGTTGCCTACCGTATCCTCTTTGCAGGTTAAGAGGAATCAAAGCTCACGGAGTTTCGTTACTTACCGTATACCAATTTCACTCCTTTTACCTTAGTCGCTTATTTTGCACCACCGATTGATGTTCCCGTTGAGAAACCCAATCTTATAAATCATATAAATCTTCATTTTTTTTTAGATTTTCTTGTGCTCTTAGTTCGCCTTGCTCCCAATCAATCCACGCCATGATTGTGCTTCTTAATGAATCGGGCTGTCATACAGAATCGTGTTTCATCAAGATATGTTTCCTCCTGACTAAAAGGCTTGTTCAACTGAACAAACAATGCGAAGACCGAAGCTGCTAAAACTTGTTTTGCAATTAAAAGAAAATATTGAAAAGTAATTGGCGTGACGATCCACCAATCTAAAATTGAAAAATTAGTATCTGCATTAATCATCACAAACTCAAAAAGAAGTGGTTAGATAATTATTAAATTCAGAAAAAGAACTGGATTCCCGTTCTTTTTTTGGTCTTTGTAGTAAAACCTGTTCAGCAAACAGCCAAACACCACTTACCCTTTGTGATGGAAATTGAGCTTGAATAATTAGATTGGAAGAATTAGAAGTAGACTAAACTAGAAAATTGAAACAAATTCATTATAGATTGGCATATATTTGTTTAACTTCAGGCAATATTACATTTTATATTAACCATTATCTCCCATATTCAAGCATTTAATACTTCATAATAAAATATCAAATATTCACATAAAACATCAATTTTACAGCTAGGATCAAATACAATTAGCCAAACAAGATAAAGAGACGGTATATTTTTTAAAATAAGGATAAACCATTTTTTTCATTGAAAAAATACAATCTCTTTAATGATTACAATCATTTTCAAATTCTTGGAGTCACTAACCAAATATTAATACAACATAGGTAAAAATAAATGGAGATGCTAGGATAGATTAAACCCACTAAAATTTATAGGTAGCATCATTTAAAAATTTTCAAAAATATCTAAAAATTTTTGCACAAATATCCAAATTTTGTGGATATAAAATTAATTATCTTCCAATATTATTAGTAACAAAAAGCATTTAATAATTCTTATAAGAAAAATAGACTCGTTTAGTAATTCATATGTGAATTTCAATGAGTTGGACAAATCCCTTGAAAATGTTTTTTTGTCTTTGTATTATTTTCCTTACCAAAATTGTAGCCCAACCTTTTATTACTTGGGCGATGTCCCCATAAATATGAAATAGGGTTTTTTGATTGGAGAAATAAAAATTCAATTAATTGTTAAAAAAACTATTCTTGTACACAATAAATGCTAAAACATGGCATGCACATCTTATATGGAAAAAAATTTGTCCACCAATATTTGGTTCACAAATATTTTTAAAGTTCAATTTAATTGATTTAAGTATTAGCAGAGCATTATCAAATGAAATGAAAAATTTTTTTTTTTTGTCAACTTATATTTCCATCTTAAAATTGAAACAATTATTCTATAAATATTATTTGCAGTATGTTTATCATCAAAAACGCGATATGCAATAATTCTATTTTTGAAATTTTCCCAATCAATCATCCATCCAATGAGCATGTAATGGCCCAGTATAAGAATGCATTTGCCAATTGGATCACTCTTAAAATAATCACAACAGAATTGAACACGGAATTTTCATTGAGAAAATTAAACAGCTCTAACTCTTTTTCCTTTATTATATAAAGAAAAAATCAATAGTTCGTTTTTACAGTATTTCTTGCTACTCTTTACAGAAGGGATTAAAGCTTTTGACAATGAATAATTATTAAAACCTACTTTTTTCACCAAAACTAAAAGATGAAATGTTCCATAGAAATCATTTTTTCTAATTCTTCTTGTTTGTATTTTTTCAGCATATTTTAATAAAGGAATAGGTGTTAGAAGATGCGGTACCAGAAATTTATGTTTGAGACCGATTTCAACTCCTATTTTTGTTTGGATGCTGTTTTTGTCTCCAATTGCTTCCAAAAAATGATCCATAGCTGCCACTTGGTTTTAAATTTATTAAGATTTTTCACAATAATTGCAAATAACATCGTACACGTTTTCTCACCTTTTGAATTTTTCATGAAATTAAATGGCGAATATGTCGGAACTTTGTCTTGCTCTTCCAACCAATTTGTGCTCCTTGCTCTTGCTCTTGCTCTTCCGTCTTCTTGTGTAGAATTTGTTCCTTCATATTAAATTCAAGATCTGAGTTGGAAATTTTCCAAATTTTCATTTGGATATTCCCCTAAAATTAAAAATTGGTGGGAGTGAAATCAAAGATGTCGTTTGTAGATTTAGATGATATTTTGTTTCTCCAATCTTTTCCCTTTGCCCTTACCCGAATATTGAGGTTCCTCCCACTTGCCGTTTATATGATAATAAGATATAATTTTGGAAAAATGGAATAAAAAAAAAATTAAAGAGAATAAAAACGTAATAAGCAGAGATTGTAGATAGAGAAGAAGAATATAGAGTAGAGGTTAGTATATTGTAGAGAGAGTATAGATTTGTTTGTGATGAATTTGTAAATGAAATGAGGTATTTATAATACAATCCAAAAAATTATTTTTCCAAAAATACCCAATTGAAACTAGCCGTATGTAGCCGTTTATGGTTGTTGGGAGGTGTAATTAAGGAGATTTCACAACAAAATTTAAAACAAAAAACAAAAAACTGACAGTTTCTAATGGCTAGAATCGCCAGTTCTAAACCGGTTAGAATCGGCGGTTCTAACCGACTGGAGAACCGACGGTTCCATTTGGTTACCGACACGGTTTGTTAGAACCACTAGTTGCGGTTCCAACAAAGACTGGAAACCAGAACCGAATCGAAAATTCTCCGGTCCGATTTACGGTTCGGGAATGCGTTCGAACTGACGTTCCGGTTTCCGAAAACCGTAATATGCCACCCCTAATTTGAAGTAGAGGTGCGCCGGACCATATTAACGGTTTCTGTTGGACGCGTAATTTTACGCCCCACCCGGACCCAATGATATATGAGGATAAGAAACAAGGTATCACGATAATAAAAACCAGAAGTGTTTGAACCAAAAATTTGAACCCAAAACCGCCCCAAAAGGAGCCTGACCCGCGTTAGGCCTGCGTTCACGCCAGCTTAGTACCTGCGTGACGGGCCACTCTTAGCTGCGTCACACAGCTCTTAACAGGGGGCGACACCTCTGGCAACGCGCCCGTGCAAACGGCCTGCATGTTTTGTGTGTATGGATAACGCGGCAACTGTACGAAAAAGGTAAGTCGCGTTTCCCACGCAGCTTACGGGGCGTGTTCACACGCAAAAAAGGCTTGTACCCGCGTTTTTGACGCGGGGGACTATTGGGCTCTTGTGGCCCCTAGGGCCCATATTTTTTTAAAAAATTTTTTTTACCAAATTTTCCTCCCCCTCCT